CTCTGCCAAGAAAACCCCAAAAGGGGTCATGAAGAGTCAGAAAGCCTTAGTTTTTCTCATCAGTCAAATGGGGATGAGAAGCAGTAGGGGATGGCAGCCAGAAAGCCAGCTTAGAGTTGCCAGGCAGGATAGCCAAAATCCAATGTGAATGTGAGCTGTTATTAGGGGTGTGCTTGAGACTGCTCAAACTGGCACGAGACCCAACTGTTAAATTTTGATAAAATGATAAACTGCCCAAATTGGCAAATAATACAAATAGGGGCCAGAATGAAGAAAGTTTTGGAGAAAATATCAGTAACAGAATAAACTTAAAAAGTGTGTTATATGTAATTTCCCTCCCTGGAAAGCTGGTTGTTAAACATGTACTTGCATATCCCTGGTTATTATCATTAAACATCATCATCTTCATAATCAGGGCCAGACTCTCCTGATGGATATTGCAAAGATGAATGTTGACAGACTGTGGACCAGGGGTCAGAAGACTTGGATTACAGTCCAGCTCATGCCACTAGTTGTATGTGTTGTTGTTGTTCAGTTGTTTCAATTGTGTCTGGCTCTTTATGACCCCATTAGGGGCTTTCTTGTCAAAGATACTAGAGTGGTTTGCCATTTCCTTCTCTAGCTCATTTTACAGATGAGGAAACTGAGGCAAACAGGGTTAAGTGACTTGCCCAGGGTCACACAGCTAGTAAGTGTCTGAAGCCAGACTTGAACTCAGGTCTTCCTGACTCCAGGCCCAGGGCTCTATCCAATGTGTCACTTAGCCACCCAATCTTGGGCAAATCACCTGATTTGTTGGAGCCTCAGTTTCCTCATGTATAAAAAGAGGGGGTTGTCTCTTCTAGCTCTAAAATTCAATGAAAACCTAAAATCACTTTGCTTCATTTGCAACTGTCTGATTTCCATCTAAATGGTAGGCTTGGATAGGTGCTGAGAAAGCAGATGCTCCATGCTAGCTAGGGTAATTAAGGAGAGCAATGGCCCTTTACTAAATCTAGTTAGTGATGAACAGATGGACAGTTCAGTTGTTCTAAGCATTTAATCAATTTCCCTAAGAAGTTGGTAAATCACTAGACAAAGTAAAACGATGACTCGTGTATTTTCTCTTAACTGCGACCGTATTCCATTTCTGTGCAAGAGAAACTAAATACATAATCTTGGATTTACTATGGATACACCCTTGCCCCTTCTCCTCTCCTCTCCTTTTCCCTCCTGAGATAGTGACTATGCAATTTTCCATCAATGAAATAATTTTGAGCCTGAGGAACAGAATCAGAGGAAGAGGCAGCTTTGTCTACTCAGTAATGCTATCTCTGATTAGTGGGCAGTTTTGCACATAGGGCAGTTGACTGCCTAATTTATGTCACAGAAAGACCATGTCTCAAACCGTTCACTGCTAGAGTTCTGCTGTAGTGTCTTCATTCACTTAATTTCCTGGAATGAATGCAGAGTCAAGAGAGACGCCTTACATTCATAACATCTGCACACACTTAAAATGCATGTTGGCTAAAATATTTATGCCACAAGCTATGGTTGGAATGTCATTTAGAAAGTCATAATGTTATATGTATTATAAAGTGAGCTTCAAAAATATCTGTGGCAAATACACAGAGAAAGACTGCAGAGGTTATGAGGTTTTTTAAAATTAATTTTTAAATTACTGCATTCCTTTATAGAAGAATGATATTTTTTAAATGACAGGAAACACAATCCATAAAAAGTATAACAGTCATTTTGGTACAGAATCAAAAATCGAGAGGCCCTCAAGAAGTTATTCAGTTCAGCCACCTAAATTTACCATTTAGGTGAAATGTCTAAGTCATCGGTCTTATTTTAAAAGCTCTCTAGAGAGGGAAGTTCTCCTGCCTCCCATGACAGGGAAATGTGGTTACAGATCTCTCTTTAATGAGCCATATACTTCATACAGCTAAAGCTATGTGTTTCCCATTTAAACATTTCACTTCTACTGTATTCTCCTGAGTTAAGGTCTATTCTCACACCACTTTGTATGTATGTGTTGGGGTTGGGAGTCTGGGATTAGGCAAGTAAACCTACAGGTAATATATTATGTAGGAGACCTGCAGGCTTCCTTGAGATTTCAAGTAAAAGACACACACAAAAAAACTCCCCATCACTCCAAAATCAGTGATCCCTATAGACACTTTAAATTAAATTAGGCTGTTCTCTCCCTGATGTCAAAACAACACAACTGGGATTTCTGCCCAGAAATGTAAAGGACCCAGAAATCTTTGTGAATGAATGAGTTTTAAGTCTGTTTGCATTATCTCACCTCTAGTGCTCACTTTCTCCTCTTAATTGCTCTCCACACCCATAAAGAGGGGGAAAAAAAAGTCTAAGGATTGGCAGCTGGCAGGCTCTAATGATGTATGCTGATTTGTTAATGAAACTTTAATTATAAACCAGAGCTGTGCACAAAGAACAGAATGTCCAGGACAGACACTAGGTTTGTACTCAGTCCCCTCCCCCTTGGGGCACTTGAGAAATAACGGTAATTAATGCTGCACACCATTCTTGAAAGAACGGGTGCTTGGGTGCCTCATGGTCAGCCTCCCGGGACTTTGGGGGCCCAAAACACAGGGTGCTGGAAGTCACCCCAGCGATTCTGTCCATTCAAAAATCTCCTCTTTGCTCATTCACAGGATGTCCGGGTAGGTGCCATTCACGTGAGTCCAAGTAAAACATTTCAAACAAAAGTCCACACGTCTTTAGAAAATTACAGGCTTACTTCTCAGGCTTCAGTTTAAAACTGTCCAAAGTGTGACAGTGTGGGGAGAGGAGAGGCATGGAAGAGAGCTTTTTTTTTTTTTATTATTTCCCATTTAGAAGAAGCAATACAACTGAAAATAAGTATAGCTTGGGATCTATATTTGGTTAAAGAGGTTGCTTGGTATTTGAGAGCTGAGTTCAAGTTCTGCCTGTGACATATACTGTCAGTAATCTGTATGACCCTGGGCACAGTGCCCCAGACAACTCACTGACCATCCATTTCAGATGAGCTGTCTATTGGTAAAGGTATCTACACATGAGAAACTGCTTTAATTGTTGTTGTTCAGTCATGTCTGATTTTTTGTGACCCTATTTAGGGCAAAGATACTGGAGTGGTTTGCCATTTCCTTCCCCAGCTCATTTTACAGATGAGGAAACTGAGGCAAGCAGGGTTAACTGACTTGCTCAGGCTCACAGCTAGTGTCTGAGGCTGGATTTGAACTCAGGTCTTCTTCACTCCAGGCCTGGCACTCTATTCACTATACCACCTAGCTGGCCAAAGATATCTCCATATGAGAAACTTCCTACACTGATGATATTACACTTCTAGACCAAGAAAAGGAAGGGTGTATGTGTGTGTGTTGGGGTGGGGTAGAAACCTGGTTCTCTCTAACTGGAATAGGATTAGATATGGTAGATTCAGGTAACTGGAGAAAACTTGGTAAATATGTGGCAGACTTAACTAAGTAAATTATTTGGTCTCATCTGATTTGTTTGTGATCATGTGGACATCCCCAGGAAGTAACAATAACAAAATAGCTCAAAATGGGAGCACAGGCTGCCCTACATTGTAACACTCCCACCCATGAGATCATCCTACCCATTCATATGCTAGGTAACTACGCCTGATTTTGGGAGGGCTGCCTGCTTTGTCAACCCTGTGCAGAGTTGTGAATACTTCACTGCCCTGTAAGGAGGAAGAAGGACTACTTGTGTTTCTCCTATTACCCCAGCCCTCTCCCCACCCTCAAAATAAGCTAAAAGAGGCAGTCTCTTGGCTCATGCTACATCCAGGTCAACTCTGGCTGAGGAAATGTGAGGAACCCCTCGAGATCACACCTGAGACTGAACTAATGTCAGACCTCATTAGCCTCAGGCAGTCCTATAGAGAAGAAAACACAAACGGTGAGAAGCAACATATAACCCCCAGGAAGAGATGGAAGTTACACTCAAGGGCAAAGGGGTAAAATGCTGGGCAGTTGCCCAAGGAATGCAAACATCAATGAAAAGGTTTTTTTTTCTTTTTTTAAATTTCATTCCTGTTATGGTCGCTTTCATTTGCTCAAGAGACATTTCTCTTGCTTGGAGCTATGGGGTTCTGAATAGGTTTTGACCTGTTGGTGAACACAGAGGCCCAGAATAAATTAAAAACCTAAAACATACATACCATGGGCAGAGTATAGTCCTCCCTTAAAAGTGAGATTTTTTTTGGAAGGAAAAATTTCTATAATTACCTACTATGGAAAATAATGACTATAGACCACCCCCCCTCCCCAGGCAGATCTGGGGTTAAAAGTATGGAACAAAACAGTAAGTCTGGTATCAAAACACTGAAAATTCAGCTTGGTCCCCCATAGGTACAAAAGCATCACATCCAAAAGATAAAGGGAGAACAATTTCTCTTTATTTTCCTAGTGTCCTTCAGGGCTCAGCTTGGGTGCCATTTTTAGAAGAAGTCTTTCCTGATTCCTCTTCACTCTCCTCTTTTACCATGTGAGTGTCCTACCTCCTGACATTTTTATCTGTTTACATATTATATCTCAGCCCCTCTCCCCAAGTAAAACGTAAATTCCTTAAGGTCAGGAACTGGTTTCCATTGTCTGTATCCCCAGAAATTAGTTCAATGCTCAGTCTATAGCAGGTGTTATAGTCATAAACAGTTACAGTCATAAACTGTGTTGAATTGAACTGAATTCTCCCCTTGAGTTTAAGCCAGAGTTTGAGGTGAAATTCATGGGTCTCAAGCTGGAGGCTTCCACTACCTCTGCTGGTGCTGCTTTCTTAATTTATCATAAAGCTGTATGGTACAGAGGTACTAATCTCTGTAGAATTCCCTGTGGGTCTGGATAGGCAGGTGCTCGTCCCCACCACTGACCCCTCTTCCCCCCCGCCCCCGCCCCCCAGCATTAAGTTCTAGCAAGCCCGTGTTGTTGAAGGGGGTGGCTCACAGTCACAGAAATGGCCTACATTGCACTCCAACAGATGTTACTCACCATGTATGAAGGAAAGATTAAAACTCGCTTGTGCTTGCCACAGGGCCACTGGGGATCGTCCAAAAGATCTGGGTCATAATCAATGAAATCTCCCAGGTCACTCCCTAAGGGTCATGCACACAAACACATACACGGAGGAGTCATTAATGGCCCTGAAAAGTCTCTGACAGAAAGCTAACTGGGAGGTCAGTGAAAACTGAGCAAATGTTGGGTTCACCTGCTTCATATTCTGATTCTGACCTGCGCGTGACAATAAAACTCTTCCCCTCTGAACACGGATTAGCATTCTCGACACTCTATTACACCTCCATTTAAAATATCCTATTGTCATCTCTGAGATAGGAGATTACCGAACCCCTTAATCTGTGAAAGTTGCTTGTAAATCTGCCCAGGTGTCGTGAACCTGCTAAGTAGACAAAAGTTCACTTTCTGTACCCGAGTATTGAATGAATCAACCTGTTATCCAATCTGAGAACTAAGTTTCCTGTGGTTCCTATGGATTAACTACTGGTCCACAAATGGTCCTATCAATTCTTATTACCATGACAATAGTCAAAAGAAAACATGGTACTGTGCTTCAGATCTGGAGGATTTTGATAACTCCACTTTCTTGTCTTGAAATCCTTCCATGGGCAGGAATGGAAGTCATATCTCTTTTCCATGAGCTCTCTCCTCCTAAATCAATTTCCCCACCATGGCTTGTACTGACTAAGCGAAATGTAATCAAGATGTCCTTCAAGAAGTCAATCCAGTTCCCACACTGGGGACAACCCAAAGGAGGAGCCGTTCACACTTGACCTTGTTCGTGCTTTGTTCTGTTCTAGTGACCTGAAGGGAAGTCACACTGCAAAAAGGGCTCAACGTTACCAGCTGAGGGCAATAGCCAGAGCTCCGCAGTTACCTGTGTCGATGCTCCCTTGGGTGCTGCTGCTTGCCCGTCCTACGGAGAGGCTACGGTGGCTGGCATTGCGAAACTGGGAGGAGAAGGAAGAAGTGGAGTCTATGGTGTTTCTCCGAGCTCCAAAGGCATTGGTGGGTAACAGAAACTGGGTGTAAGAAACAGTCTAGAGAGATGAAGACAGAGCAGGCAAAAAATGACTCCCAAGAAAAGAGACGGTAGGATTTTTTAAAAAGCTAAGTCACCATGAAGGCGTGTCTGCCACACGCTGCTTAATACATAACTCCAGCACTGAAGGAGCGGAGACTTCTTCAGCTCAGGGAACTCCCGGTGTGGGAACTCCTTCTACTCAAACAGATCTCAACCCACCTATGACTTATCAGTTAAGTGGCAGGAAGTTGCCTTAGGCACACACAAGTTGAGTGATTTGCCCATACAAGTAATAAGTATCAGGGGCAGGATCTGAATTCAGGTCACTCCATCAACCATGTCATGATGCCTCTTTTATGTTACTTAATATCACCCCTCTATCAACATGGAAGTTCAGCATTCATGAATTTAAGTATGTGTGTGTGTGTGTGTGTGTGTGTGTGTGTGTGTGTGTGTGTGTGTGTGTGTGTGTGTGTGTGTGTGTGTGTGTAGTTGCTATTCCATTGACTCTTAATGACCTCACTAGGGGTTTTCTTGGCAAAGATACTGGAGTGGTTTGCCATTTTCTTCTCCAGCTCATTTTACAGGTGAAGAAACTGAGGCAAACAGGGTTAAATGACTTGCCCAGGGTCACACAGCTAGTAAGTGTCTGAGGCCAGACTTGAACTCAGGTCTTCCTGACTCCAGGCCCAGGGCTCTACCCAATGTGTCACTCAGCCACCCAATCTTGGGCAAATCATTTAATTTGTTGGAGACTCTTTTTAAAGGAACCAGGCAGGGAAAGTCCTGCACATACAATATGAGCCGGTACTAAATGTGGTAGGATACCAAGAACGTTTTTGACCAGCTACCTGGAGAGTTCATTTCCCAGGCTTCCAATTCCTTGTAATGGGCACACCTTCCATGGTAAAATTTTCCTCTTTGAAGAAATACCTGTATCAGGTGGTGGTTTTGTGAAGAATTTACATCTACCGGACAGGATCCAGCACGGGAGAATTAGATATATTCCAACGTCTCTTTCTCTCTCTCTCTCTTTTTCCCCCTTCGAACTTTCCATCTGGCAATCCCAAACGACACACTCTGATTCAGTGGTGATGGAAGAATTCGGCTGCCCTTCAACATGGTGCTCGTTACCGTGTGAAGTCAGAGGTACTGCTAAGCCTCTCGGGCACATGGTTTGGGATGCCAAAAAAGAGGCTGAGTATCACATTTCCTGAGCTGACATTAAGAAGGCAGCAGGAATGCCACTTGCTTGCATTAACACTTAATGAATGTCTTCATACCACTAATCACTACATTCTCAAGTGTGGCATGTTAAGGGGGAGGGGAGCTCCTGGGACGTATTGAACATTGTTGTAAACAGCAGGGGGAAGAGAAATAATTTACTCTGGGAACTCAAACCATACTTCTATGAAATGATTTGGTGTCCTGTAAAACTGCTGGTGGAGCTGGAGGATCCTAAGATGGAAACCTCGATAATCTGCCCCTCCTCCCTCGCTTTCCCTCCGTGGCCACTTGCCACTATCTAGGCGTCCCAGACCCGATCTTTACGGGCCAGTGTCCTTGCTGGCCCTATTGGTTTCAGATGAACCTGTGTTAACTCATCATTTAAAGCCACGCTTTCTCACCTTGCCGTCGGCTCCCAGCTCTACACCTTCAAGGCCAATGATCTCCTTCAAGCTCACAGCTCCAGCAGACTGTCGTCCGTCCAATTTCATATCCCTAGAGAGGACAAGCCAAAGACAATACTTTTGTCCACTCCCAACATAACAGACATGCTGCTTGTTACACAACACCAAAAAGCAACAAAGTGCACCCTGGAGAACAGGAAGTCATTTTTTCCTCCCTCTTGTAACACAAGGCTTTCTGGGTTCAGTTTGTTGTTGTTGACTCATTTCATTGTGTCTGACTCTTTGTGACCCCATTTGGGGTTTTCTTGGCAAAGATACTGCAGTGGTTTGTCCTTTCCTTTTCCAGCTCATTTTACAGATGAGGCAACTGAGGCAAGCAGGGTTAAGTGACTTGCCCAGGGTCACACAGCTAGGAAATATCTGAGGCTGGATTTGAACTCAGGAAGATGAGTCTTCCTGACTCCAGGCCTGGTCCTCTATCCACTGTGCCACCCCAGCTGCCCACATATAGGTTCAGTATGTCCACATGTTAGCCATTCCAAAATAAAAGAGAACCAACTGGACCAAAAAGCCTACCAGAGGAAGTCACAGTGAGAATCTGAGTGTCCCTTACCACTTCATAGGGTTTCCTTAGACCGTGAGCTCTGAGGACTGTTCTTGGCCTTTCTTTGTATCTCCATGTTAGCATACATACAGTAGGTACTCAATAAATGCTTACTCACTGACCTCTAGAAACAAACCGATCAAATAATAAAGAATAACAAATCTGCCACTGCAAAAATACCTCTCTAGGACCCAGTCAACCTATCCTCTCTGAAGCAAGGGATGATCAGTTTTCTTCCTGTGCTTTGACCCCAGACACAGGGTTATAGATATGGAACTGGAAGGACACTTGGAGGCCATTTTGCAGATGAAGCACTTATTATCTTTTTTATTGCTATTAGTTGGGAGGAGAAAAAAAATTACTCCTGACCTGAAACATCTTACTAGACCTATTCTTAAAACGAGTGCCCTAATATACACATTATAACTATTTTGTTCAGATGCTATCCAAGCTAATTTAATTTCTGTATTTGTCACCCAGGGTTGGCTTTCTATGGCTCCTTTCACAAAGGATTATTTAAATGATCAGCTAAAGGTCTCTTTGGAACCTCTACATCAAAAAAAAAATTACCTCAAAAATATTTGTTATTGAAAAATAAGTGAAGCTGGCATTTTTCTTGTTGAGAAGTATAGGGAGGCTTCTATGATATAAGAAGGTCACGTACCATGTTTATAGCAGATAGGATACTAGATGAATTGTGGAGACAGAGGAGAGGTAAAGTAAGAAGAAGAAAGGAGGAAGGCTGATGGGGGAGGGAGATTAGGAGAGTTAGGGAAAAGGAGAGAAGGAGAAAAAGAGAGGGAAAGATAAGGAGTGAGGAAGAGAGAGAAGAAAACAGAGAGAGAGAGAGAGAGAGAGAGAGAGAGAGAGAGAGAGAGAGAAGAAGGGGAAGAGGGAGAGAAACTGGAAAAAGTACAGTAGAAAGAAAACCGGCTCTGGAGTCCAAAGACTTGGGTTCAAATTCTGCCTGTCACTACCTATATATAAACTTGGGTAAATTATTTAACTATTTTGGGTTTCAGTTTCCTAATCTGTAAAATGAGGGGACTGGACTACTCTAGTGGGTTCTAAGGTTCCTTACAGATCTAAAGTTATGAGGTTATAAGCCAGAGGTGTCAAACATGTGGCCCAGTACAGCCTAAATCAGATTAAAATGCATTTTGGAAATATTTAACAAAATAAATACAATAAAATACAACAGAACACAGATATTGTTGATATGTGGACCGAGGAAAGTACAGAAGGAGAAGTATGTATCTGAACATGACCTATGTGGGAATTTATTTTGCTTGATTATGTATATTTGTTACAAAGCCTCCCCCCCCCCACACGAGGAAGACAGCTGGAGAAGGGAGCTAGGGAGAGAGTTGTTGAAAGAAAAAGAAAAGAAAGAAAAGAGAGTCACTGAAGCAGGGTTTTGTTGTTTGTTTTTAAGAAGAACTGAAGAAAGGTCAGACAAGTAGGATAACTTTAAAAGTTGAATTTATTATACACTTGAAAAAGTTATTATATATTTAAAGAAAAGCAAGCTGTGCAAAATAGAGATTCAGAGTTTCTTGTATAATCCTCTTATTCTGTTCTACATGGAAGCGCCCATTTTAGTTGGTGCTTGCTAATGTCTGAATTTTAAAAATACGCCACTGCTTCTTTCAAAGTCTGCCCTCTTAACCTTGTCCCCTCTTACCTCAACTAGAATCTCTTTCAATTATTCTGTTTCTCTCTTGCATTTTCAACAGAGGAACTGGGCAGGGGGTGTAATGTAAAATTAGCTGAATGGAGGGTCTATTCAAGGATTTATCTAAAAAATTATTCTACACATAGTAATTACCAATAAGAAGAAACATTCAAATACATAAACAAGAATTTAAAAAATTACTGTACATGAAACCATGAACTTCTGTTCTTGGAAGTTGAATTTTACATAAAAAATCATCAGGGGATTTAGAGCTGAAAGGCAACTTGGAGCTCATCTTGTCTTGCCCCTTCGTTTTACGAATGAGGAAACTGAGGCCCAGAGGGGTGAACTTACCTAAGAAGTGATCTGCCCAAAGTCATTTAGGAAATATTAAAGTAGCAGAGCCAGAATGGAGGTTCCAATGACGGCTCCACCTGCTTTTCCCTTTGTCTTTGGGCAAGTCACAAAATGGCGTTCTAGAGACCTGGAGTTGAATCTCAGCCCTTATATAAGTCATAGCTGTGCAACTCTAGACAAATCCTTTACCCTCTCTGAACTTCAGTTTCCTCATCTAGAAAATGCAGAAAACGTCCACCTTGAAGGTAAGTGCTATATAAGTATGTGTTAGGTGGTACAGGCCTGAAGTCAGGAAGACCTGAATTCAAATCTGGACTCAGACACTTGCTAGCCGTGTGACCATAGGCAAGTCACTTAACCCTGTTTGCCTTAGTTTCCTCACTTAAAAGATGAGTTAGAAAAGGAAATGGCAAATCATTCCAGTATTTGCTAAGAACATTCCAAATGGGGTCATGAAGAGTTGGAAATGACTAAAAACAACTGAACAATAACAACAAAATTAACAACAAATTAGTGTCTTGCTTAACTGGTCCTCTAGAATCTCATCAGCCCTTGGTAAATGAAATTTCTACACCTACAAAGCTGAAGATTGGATGATTTTTTTTTGGAGGGGGAATTTCTTTGTATCTCCCAACACTGCCTGGCACATAAAAAAAGTGTTTAATAGATGCCTGATGCACTCGTGGCTACCCATCCAAGGTAGAGAAATGTCCTCTGAGACCCTGGCTGGAGGAGCTGAGCAGCCTCCCTCGTCATCTGAATACAGAATACTGCATTTCTTTGTATCAAATCCTGCATGAAACAAATAGTTCATTAGCTGAGGCTCAAAATCTTTTGATCATACAGAGATTTGTCTCCTTAATGTCATATGCTGTTAACAGGAACTGACAACCCCTAGATAATAAATCTATTCATTGTGGCAGCTAGGGAGTACTGTAAGCTAGCGATTGTAACCCAAACAAGAATGCAGGGCCTGTTGCTGGACTGATTTAACACCTACATGGCCTCCTGTGATAGCTGCTATTCACAACTGTTACTATACAGTTCTAAAAAAAAATTAAAAAAACAGAAAACAAAAAAAATATACAGTTCTACCTCTAAGGGCATACATATTAACAAAATAAGATGGTGACATATAGCATTTAAAATTTTTTCAATATACCTATTTCAATATATTATTTTAATCTGAGAAACTGTGGCCCAGTGGATAGAGTACTAGTCTTGTAGCAGACAGATTTGGGTTAAAATCTTGACACATAATGGCCATGTGTGACCCTGGCCCAACTAATGTTCAAGAAAACTCCACTTCCCTCCTATACGTCCATCTGGGAGGGAGTGTCTAAGAATTCTTTGCCTTTTGATGTCTCCATGCTTTACTCCTGACTTTTAAGGTGCTAGAGATTGGTATTATAACTGCCTCACATCTAGGGGTAGGGAGGGTGCTTCTCAACTCTGCCCTTTGCAAAGATGTTTCCTTGCTCATGGGCTTGCTCCTTGGGGGAAGTAAAACTGGGAGAATTCTTCTGAATAGTTTGTTACTTAATCAGTGTTTGTTGAATAGGCATAGTCAATAAACATTTAAGTGCCTACTAGGTGCTGGGAACTGTGCTAAGCACTAGAGCTACAAAAAGAGGCACAAGGGAGTCTCTGCCCTCAAGGAGCTTACAATCTAATGGGGGCGACATGCAAAGAAATATATATAAACATAAATGTATAAACAAGCTATAAACAGGATAAATAGGAAAGAAATATGTATAAACAAGCTATACACAGGATAAATAGGAAATAATTAGCAGAGGGATTAATTAAGAATTAAGAAGGCTGGGAAAGGCTTCCTGTAAAAGATGAAGTTTTCTTTGGGACTTAAAGGAAGCTAGTAGATAGAATTGAGGAAGGCAGACATTCTAGGCAAGAGAGACAGAGAAAATTCCTAAAGCTGAGAAAGGTAGTATCTTGTTTGTGGAACAAAACAGGCCACAGAATTGAATGAGGAAAAAAGAGATGATTACATGAAGACAGGGAGAGTGCAATGGTAGTCACTTGGGGACCTTTCTCACTTTCCCTTGACATCACAGGTAATACACCAGAGGAGAATGGGTGGAGGCACCCAGCCACACGTTAACGATGCACAAGAACTAGATTAGATGGTAAAGACCCAAAACCACCCACGACAGATGAAAACCACTGGAATTAATAAAGCAAATGAAGAAACTGAGTCTTAACTAGTAACAGCTTTGGTAATATATATCATTTCAATGCATGTTTCTACAGACATCTGGCTGTTCCATATAAAATTCAAAATATTTGATTTCCAAATATCTCAAACCTCTCCCCCTCCAACAAAACTCCAAACTCTAATTCCTTTTCTCATTTTTGAAATTATATTTCTTGCTTCTCCACGTAAGGTATATATGGCTTTGGTTGTGGAGGGAATATGAGCATAAGATATACAGTC